GAATGTAACAATAACCGAAATATCGTGATATCACATCGTCAGAACTCTCAGAATTATATCATCGTCCATCACAATATATCGAATCGAAAGGTTTTTCATTTAAAAGTATTAAAAAAGAGCGAACTGCATAGGCCATGATCCTTTACTTACTTTACTACATAATAAAATAACAGTTACAAGTACTTTTAATTCGTATTTCCTTGGAATATGTCACCGATGATTCATACTGAAGACTGGTCAAGGTATTTAAAAAGGAAAAAAGTAGCATATGTAGCATTAATTCTATTAACCCCTCCAAAATATCGCAATAATTATCGTACCGTGAGAGGCATATCGTGATAATTATCGTACCGTGAGATTTGGATATGGTTACATCTCTATTAATAACTGCGCTGCCCTCAACACACGCTACTATATGAAGCTAGACAGCCAGCGAACTAATAAAGAAATCTCTGTACAGCGGCGTACTTTTCTTGATTTTTATGGAGATGTCTTGTATAAATTTGTAACTGAAACACACAGAAAAAGAAGAACATATAATAGTGCAGTAGTAGCTCCGTGAAACAACAACAGATTTACGATTTACATGACCAAAATAAAATACAATATGAGATCTCAAAGTGCTTGTGAACATATAAAACTTACAAAGAAGGAAATTATCCAAGGTTCAAATGTTAGAAAACACTCAGCATGAACAAGATATTCAGACTTCATTTGGCAGTCGCCGTGGAAACAGCTGACACAGGAATGCTCACTGTGTACTGAAAATAAGCGATCCATAAAGGTGAAGATATTTCACTCTGGTGATTTTACCCAAAAATCTTTTCAACATTTTGCAAATATGAAATGAACATTGTTGATTTCCAAGAATGAACTTATTTATATATATATTTTTTACTAACTTAATAACCTTTTTAAAATGTAAATGTATTTTAAACCAAAGACATGTTAATAACAAATTTGCACCTAAAGTAATTTTCTGGAGGTGGTGTCCTGTATGATTCCATGGAAATAGGATTATTAAAACCAAAAATAGAATCATTAAAACCATATCTCTTTACCTTTAGCCAAAGGAACAGCATTTACAAAAAAATAAATAAATAAAAAAGCAGGTGGAAGCCCTTGTCCAGCCCAAATAAGAGCCAGGTTTGTGGAAATGCAAGCTCAACAGCTCAGTGCTGGATTATAGTATGGACACATAACATTCTGTTTTTGCAATAAAAAGTTACATACTGGGGCTTTAAGGTCATCTTACAAATATTTAATGGGAGTACTTTGGTGATTTTCATCTTGTCAGTACAGTTCTGAGGATGACATGTGATAATACAATATAATAATGACTGTGATACATGGAGTTCAGTCTTTTTTGACTGACAAAGTTCTTTTGAAAGAACATTTCTCAAGAACAGAGATGAAGACACTTTTCACACTGGACAAAAAACTAAATCTAGGTAATTTAAAATGACTTAAATTAAGAACATTTTACTTTACTTGAGCAGATTCAACTTGACAAATTATCTGCCAATGGAATAAGTGTGTTTTTCTTAATCTAAGTAACATTAGTCCAATGAGATTCATTTGGTCTTCCGATATTCTATGTTATTAGGTTCTTTTTTCAGACCAAGAGTTTTATTTCATACCTGACTGTTTCGACTGCTCACTAGCACTCCAGTCTTTATTCATGCTAAGATCCTTAAAAACACACAATAAATCATTAATATTAGCTTTATCAAGGTAGATTTACAAAAAAAAAAAAAAAAAAAAAAAAAAAAGTTAATTTTTAATTGATACAAGGTAATTTGGGCCAATTCACCTGGAAGTCTGAGGGCCAAGAAAAAATTGTCTGAGGGTCACATTTTGCCCACGGGCCATAGTTTGGACATGCCTGTGTTAAACTAATAGAAGAAAATGAATAACCACATTATTTGTATAGCATCAGTGGTTATTTTATGGTGAAGCCTGAAAGTGTCACACAGTCTGCTGCACATCTCCTCAGCCTCCCTCCTGTGAACGAGAGAAAAATGCAAATATTCAGTACTTCGCTTCTGTAGTTGCTGGGTTACATAATGCTCCACGGTCTTTAATAATAATAATAAAACAACAAACAGTGACTGCGTATACATGCACATCAGTATCCCGGTTATGATTGGGTTTTTGAGTGTCCCGGTTTCTTCATGGTGCATGTAAACGCAGTAACCCGGTTTCAGTATCCTGGTTATTAGAAACTGGGATACTGCAGCTGGTATTTTCCGATAGTAACCGGGATACTGGTGCATGTATACGCAGTATCCCGGTTACTGCAACATAAAGTTGAGTGCACATGCATCCAAAAGACAAACACTTTCCAGTCTTTTCACCACAACAGTAGCGACATAAATAAAGTGACCAACATAAATAAAGTGACCGACATAAATAAAGTGACCGACATAAATAAAGTGACCACATGAGCGAAATAACAGTAAAATTAAGAGCTGCGCTATACCTGCACACGTACAATCTGCACTCATATGACCTGCACTCGTGTGATCACTGAAAAGCTAAAACATGAACTATCTCCTATACTGTATACGCACGGAACACACTCACCATCATCAACGCCTCTTCTGTCACAGAAAGAACACACATAATCCACTGAGTCGTGTCCTTCAGTCCAAAAGAAGCTGATCGCATCAGCAGCACAAGGAGCAGCTGTTTTTATCTCCGCTAACAGTTTATGCTAATTAGCCAAGCGATTTTAAGTTTTGTTTCTGTAAAACGTAAACAAAGCTGAATTATATTATCAAACGGGCTGATGTGGCTCTACAGTGGTTATGGTTTATATGTTGTAAAGTTGAGTTTATTTATGCAGAAGATTTAATGTGGAATTTAATTGTGGGATATGTCGTAGCTTCTCACCGCTGGTTAAACCTCCCGAGCTTCCTCTGCTAAAGGAGTTCGTGGTTTGTATTTTTCTTGGTTTATTAAATTGATTTAAGTAAATTTTTGCACTTGCGCATTTGCAAGATTATGGCAAGAAACCGGGATACTACATTTGATCATGTGCACACGAATATGATGATCCCGGTTTCTCAGTGCGCATGTAAACACAGTATCCAGAATATAACATAACCGGGATATGGCTAATAACCGGTATACTGATGTGCATGTATACACACTGAATATAAACAGTCAGAGGTGATGCAGCCTCTATGATAATGTCAGTGGTTTGGATTGAAGAGCCACGGGAGGGTCTGGGACGAGACGCTCAGCCAACCAGACAACAGCCCTGTCAAGTCTTCACGATGCAATCACAGCCGCTTGTTTGTACTGAACGTCTCTCAAACATGGAAGACTCCTGACAGAGCAACACTTCAGCTCTCCGTTCAGAGTCTGCTGTTTGTCACTCCTCCGCGTTCTGTTTTTCTTTCTTTTTTATCTTAACATAAGCCGCCATGTTTGTTTTGACACCGACAAATTATGTTTTTCTCAAGTTGGTTAAGCCACGTGTCAATCATACACACTGGAACTCAGGGAGAAAGGAGCCACTTCACAGCTGGACATTTTAAAGGTGCACTGTGTAACTTTTCGGGAGACGCCTGCTTGTCTCCATGTAAATTACATTGGTTTGTCTGGAATGTCCCAAATTTGTGTGTCATTCGTTCATTCATTTTTCAAAATAAAACCAAAAATAAGCCAAAAAAAAAACTACTATTTTCTTCATTATTTGTCTAAAAACTGAAATGAAAAAATGGATAACGAGTTGTTTTTTCAGTTTTGGATTTTGTGTTTAATGAATAATGGAAAAAAGAGTAATTTCCCTTTTTTCGTGACATAAACTGTAATGCCGGACTTTTATGCCACATATGGACTAAACCAGGTGTAAACAAGGTTTAAACCAGGTCTAAACCCGGACTCAACCAGAACTGAACCAGAAGTGATCCCAGGACTGAACTAGGACTAAAAAGGACTAAAACAAGACTAAACCAGAACTGAACCAGAACTGAACCAGGACTGAATGTCGGGACGGACTCGGAGCCCATGAAGACCGTCGGGTGGAACTCCGCGCCCCATGGGGCTCAGCGCAACCACCGCCCAATCGCACTTTGCAAGACACTCTGCTCCACGGGCTCGAGGTTCTCCCTCTTTCTCAAGTCCAAGATTAGCCCTGGTTTAGATCTGCCTGGTTTAGTCCTGGTGTAGTCCTAGTGTAGTCCTGGTGTAGTCCTGGTTTAGTCCTGGTTTAGTACTTCTGCTTCAGTTCTGGTTTAGTCCTGGTTGAGTCCTGGTTTAGTCCTGGTTTAGTCCTGGTTTAGACCTGGTTTAGTCCTGTTTTAGTCCTTGTTCAGTCCTGGTTTAGTCCTTGTTCAGTCCTGGTTTAGTCCTGGTTCAGTCTTGTTTTAGTCCTTCTCCTTAAGTCATGCTTCAGTCCTGTTTTAGTCCTGGTTCAGTCCGTGTGCGGCTCACAATCCCGGCATCGCAATTTAAGTCACAGAAAAGGGAACCAGTCATTATCCGTTTTTTCATTTTAGTTTTGGAGACAAATAATGAAGAAAATAGTCGTTTTTTACATTTTCTTATTTTTGCTTTTATTTTGAAAAACGAATGAACGAACACTACACGGACACGGCATTAAATGTGTCCATCTTGAATTCATAACAGTGTTTTTATTGACCAAAAAACCTGCATTCTTACTGTTAGTGGGCTCTCCTCTCCACTGATCCGACATGTAGCTTGGCTTTTCGAGGTAAACAAGTGTAATGCAATAGTGCGGAACATTCCCGGCATTATTTCCACGGAGAGAACGAGGTGACGGACCCTCTGCCGGAAAAAATACGCAGTGCACCTTTAAGTCTGGCAAATGTAGTCTTGGCTAGTATTAAATCAACATGTTTTTTTTTATAATTTTTTGATGGAATATATGAAAACGTCCACATCCGGGAGCCATTTCACCTACAGAAAACCATACATCACTGATATGATCCCATTCCCATGCGTCTAATGCTCCATTTGTTTCTCCACAGCGGGATACAACATGGATGACGGATACCTGGAGGCCGTCGTGGGAGGTGAGCTCTCGTTTCCTCTTCGCTCTCTCCTCGTCACTATCTCTTCTCCGTCGCCAGATATCTGCCTTCCCCGCTTCTCCGCACCTCATTTCTCGTGGATGAAGCAGAGCCGAGGGGCAGGAGGCAAGCATCTGCATCTGCCAAATGTCCCAGAACGGAAGCTTTTAGCGCGCTTCCACCTGCTGCTAAGAACGCGCTTTTATTTGGCCTTCAAAGCGTCTCCTATAGCAATAACAAATGTATTCATCAACGCCGGGCTGTCGACATGTCAGTTATGTCTGTATTTTATCTCGCGTGAAGGCTGAGCGCTTCACTGAGCGGTAAACATTAGAGAAGCAGCGCGCTAAAAGCTTCTGGCACCAGATGATTTTTATATCCACATAAAGATTAAGTAAAGTACCATGTTGTGAGGGATAATGGTAAAGCATGGACCAGTATGGATGTTTGTTTTTTTTACGCAGCAATTTAAACAAACAAATGGTTGACAATGTGATCACACTGCAAATTTCTCTGATCTGGCCATGATTTTAAAACTTATATCAGGTTATTCATCTTGTTTTCAGATTTATTGTCTACTTACTTGCTCTGAGACGGCTTCATTCTAGTCTAGAGGTGCCGTATTTTTCGGTCGCAGTGCAGCACTGAGGTTTATTCAGAAGCGAAAGACGACGTGTGCGAGCAAACAAGGCGACACCCACATACTTCACCCATTTTAGCAAATTTAGTGGCTATTTAGTTTATGAAAAATGAGCAGAGGGAAGCGCTTTGTGCATCTGTGGACAGGGAAGATGTCTGTGCTTTTCTCTCAACTGGATGTTACAAAAGTTATTTTTCAACTTGTTCTGCTGTTGTGACACTTCGATCAATCAGATTCAAATACTAATCACGATGTTCCGTGTTTCCTGATCGTTGTCAGTAAGAGTCATGTTGATAAACATGTAAAGTGGAAACCAAGGGTGGAAAATAACAAACGTTTACATTTACTCATGTTACTGTAATTGAGTAGATTTTATTATTCATTTGTAATTTTTAAGTAGTTGTTAGGTCTGCCTAAACATTGTAAACAAGAAAAAAGACAAGAGATTAATTCAGTTTTACTCGCGAGGAGAACGGGCAGAGAGTGGGCATCAAAACCAACAGTCTCCACACGTTCTGATGACTCAAGGCCGCTCTCTCCTCTTTTTATTTCATTAGGAGGCCCTAGTTACAGAATGATAATTCTCAAGGGGAAGGGGAAACAGCCAAGACATAATAAGAAACTGATGAAGCTATGCATAGTCCAAACACATAAAACATGATTAACAATCAGGAGGTGCCTTAGGTCAGACACCATCATAACTCTTGCATGTGTGACAGTGGAAGTTGGCTTCATGTGAGGAATCATCTCGAGGTTCACAAGAGCGATAGGACACTGCACACAGTTGTCAAACACACAGAGGTTATTCATTTTCATACAAGTGATTGGTACATTATAAATCAAAGAATTGTAGTACATAAATGGTTAACTCATAGGCCTAGAATATCACACAAGTATTTAGCAAATATGGGATAATAAAATTATTCTGACAGTAGTTTTTGATGTGGGTCCATTACACTGGAGCCCACCCTCGTAACTGAGTAAAATCAGATTGATAGAGGAAATAAATGAAATGCAAAAAAACCCCCAAAAAAACCAATCTGCTGGAAATTAAAGTAAATAGTGTGGGCTGCACACGCGGCTTTTTCACCATAGACTGTGGAGTCATTGTACAGAACCGTCAGTCTGTCTTGGATCAACTTGGATGCTGCTGGTGCTGAGCCACAGATCGAGGTCGACATGGACGATATTCAAAAAGAAGGTGAACTGAATAATTCGAGAGGAAACAGAAGAAAACCCTTGGCCACACCTCAGACAGATATTTGTGTTCAAACTCAAAGTAAGGAATAACATAATAATACAACACATGTGGGACGTACCTGCTGAGGTGCATGACTACCTCACGCCCGGGACCGAGCTGCTGTTGGAGCAACTGGTGCAAGTCATGGGTCAGTGCCGGCGCCGAGTGGAGCAGGAGGTGACCAGCTCAGCAGTGAGCCCCAGCAGCAGCAGCAGCAGCAGCAGCAGCAGTGGTCAGTGCGCTCTCCTGCCCGCACTGGGGGCAGAACACGGGGCTGCGGGGTTTAGAATAGATCCGGCCTGGGTCTAGCTTTGCCCTCACAGTCCCACTTCACTGTGGGCCTGATAAGTGGAAAAGGGTCATTGTGTCAGACACAGGAGGCTCTTTGATCCACTAATGATATCATGGTTTGTATTTTCTGGCTCTGTTTGTGCAGTAGACTCAACACCACTGGACTCAGCTTGGGTGGGTTAGACTTGGTATAGTATACAAGGGTATAGTCTGGGTTTAGTTTGGTCATAGTTTAGTCCTGGTATAGTCCTGGTTTAGTCCCGGTATAGTCCTGTTATAGTCCTGGTTTAGTCCTGGTATATTCCTGGCACAGTAATGGTTTAGTCCTGGTATAGTCCTGATTTAGTCCTAGTTTGGTCCTGGTTTAGCTCAGTTGTCTCTCAAATGGACAGTACAATGTAAAGTTTGCAGTGTATCATCTAAAAGTAACTTTTACTCAAATTACCTTTTGAATTAAGTACTTTTTTACTTTAAGTTGAATAGATTTTTAGATTTTTACTTTTAATTGAGTAGAAATTAAGCAAAATAAAGATACGTTTACTTAATTACAATTTTTCAGTATTTTTCCCCCTCTGGACGTCACTTCAGTGTGCTAAACATGAGCCAGGTTACAGATGCACTTTCAAAAAGGCAGTGTAACAAAGACAAAATCTGTACATCTGTTTTGTAACGTTTTATTTTGTGTTTCATGTGCATGTAAACACGCCTCTGATCATCTACTCACATCTGCCTTGACCGTGTTGGTTCTCACTGTCTGTGTCGCTGTCCTTCAGTAGCAGGTGTTTGCAGACCCTCTGTAAATCTTTCCTGACAGTCCCCACGATGTCATTATCATGTGTCTCAATGATGGAAGTCCTCCGTGTCTCCGCGCGCTCGTCCATCTGTGCCTCTGTGGTTCTGAGCCCTGTCGTCTCTCTCTTTCTCTCCCTCTCCAGCCGTCATCGCCACCGTGGTCGTGGTCCTCCTGGTGGTGGCGCTGGTCGTGGTCCGGTACATGTTCCGGCACAAAGGCTCCTACGTGACCAACGAGGCCAAGGGGACGGAGTACGCGGAGACGGCGGACGCGGCGCTGAGGAGCGATCCCGCGCTAAAGGACGCCGTGGATCAGAGCAGAAAGGAGTACTTCATATGAGTGTGTGGACTGGTTTTGACACGTTGGTCCAAAGACACATAATAAGTCAAAGCGTTGGCAATTTTGCACTGTTGTACTTCACAGTTCTAGCTCTAGTTCTATGTAACAAATGGAAATCTACTGTTTGTTTTGTGATTTATGTTACAATTGCAGCAGAATTTTGAAGGAGCTGTATCTGATTTCAAACCATGAGTCAGGAACATGTTATAGTTTGAACTTTTTCCCCACCCACTAACTTTCTGACGTCACCAAAAGCAGATGGAGGTCAGGAAGTAAACACAGATGCGCAGAATCCCATTTACCTCTGTGGTTACACCCTTATCATCAGAAGGCCCCCCTAGTCAGAAAATCATGACCTCTTCTATTGGTTTGTCAGCAACATATCTCTTGAACAATTGAATGTATGTTTGATGAAAGCAACAGGGAATAATCCCTAGGTACAAGGGAAGAATCAGTAAACTTTTGGATGTATACTGATTAAAAATGGCTGCAACATCAAAATTTTTAGAGATATTGACAGGAAAACACATAATCATGCATAACAGCATTAGCTAAGGCCAGCATTACTTAATTTGTTGGTTTACAAACCCACCAATGCCATAAGAAAAAGATTTAAAATAAATTTGAAATGAAGGTTGTAGAGCTCGAATTACTGAACATTTTGCAAGTTGTTGCCTGAAAATCAGACAATTATTAACCCTGTTACACTTAAGACAGCCATTTCCACCCAAATTATTTCCTCAAACATTTAAAATATTTAAAACTTGAATTACAATTTAATTTGTAAGAATTTGTAAGACTACCTGAACATGGATTTTCTGACTAGAGGGTCTTCTGACTAGAGGGACTTCTGACTAGAGGGACTTCTGACTAGAGGGACTTCTGGTGATAAGGCTGACCCCTACCTCTGCTGACTCGGTGTCAAAATGTCTAAATTCTGTGCAGTCTGTGGTCGCTGCAACCGCTCTAATCAGGAGAAAGACAAACATTTTTGTGCGTGTGTACCGAAAGTGTTGCGTCACAAGGGAGTTAAGTTTTAAAAAACATACAGAAAAAAGATGAAAAAGTGAATTTCGGGCTAAAAACAGGAGGCGCAGAAACGGACAATGCAAGAGTTTGCAGCAACTAATTTGTAACAGGTAATGATTGTGTCATTTATTAATATTTTTACAGTTTTTTTGGACAGTTATTTAGAAAGACAAGCATAGGGTGACCAAACGTCCCTATTTCTCATCCTGTCCTGGCCGTCCGGGTTTTTTTTTTTAAGTGATGGAAATGTCTGGGTTTTCATTATCTTTCATTGGGCCATTAAATTGAGCGGCTCTCGTAGTTGTACACAAATAGTCCGTCAGCCTGCAACATGCCGAAGAGCAAATGCGCATTTAACGATGACTTGAACAAGAAATTCTCCGCGTGGGGAAGTGGGAGACCATGAGCACAGAAAGCAGGCGTATATGTTTTGGTGTTCAGTGGACCTCATAGCTCACCAAGACACCGATAAACATTACAAAGCTTTGCCAGGTGAGAGTACTTCAATGTCAATGACGAAACCCCACCTTCCACCCCCATACGGTCTCCTGGTTTTGACAAATGGAAATATGGTCACCCTAGACAAGTGCCGGTAAACTGTTGCATTATACCTAGTCCTAACTCGTCACGCCAAAAGCTTTATGTGGTGTTAATTTTATTGCCGTTTTATACCTTTTTTAAATCATTATTTTAGGTTATCCTAGTGCTGCGGGTGATTTTAATTCTAAATAATTGTGCACCTCCAGACTTTTAAAGGCTTTCATTTGGCTCAGTGTAATACGAGATCTGCAGCACCAGATCATTTATTATATCCATGGCCTCAACGCCGGGAAAATCCTCCAAATTGTATGAAAAGTCCAACTTCTCCATATCGTACGGGTCATAACATATATTTAGACTTATTTTTTTGTGATATCAGGTCTTTGCCTCACCGTCTTACTCACTGTAACCCACCGTGCAGTTTAGAAGCTGAGCAAAACACCTGCCTCCATGTGAATTTCGTGCGTCATCAGGGTCACGTGAGTGAAACCCGGCAAATGCACCGTGACACACAAACAATTGTCTGGGATAGTGTCAGCCAGTTGTTTTCTCATAGTTTTCTAATCTCTGCCCATTGTTATTTATTGCCACCCTTGAAAATGCGCCTTGATAGTGAATAGAGTGTGCGACAGTGTCAGGCAGTTTCCCATCATTCTTAGTAACGTGTGATCAGTGTTGGGAGTAACGTGTTATAAAAGTAACAAATTACTGTAATGCGTTGCTTTTTGCTGTAAGGCAGTAATGTGGCATAACAGGGAAAATATGTTAATATTTTACTGGGTACAGATGTGAGTAACGCGCATCATAATGCTTTTTTACCCTGGATTGAAGTGGTGGGTTTTTCTTCATACAAATTTGCTAAAATCAGCAGATCGTCGGATGACCGCGAGCAAAAGGACCGGCGCAGAACTCCACGCTCCACGGGGCGAACCGCAGCTGACGCCCGATTGCGCCTTGCAGACACCCTGTTCCACGGACTCGGGATTCTCTCAGGGGCCGTCCTAGATTCCAAATTCTAGTCCAAGATTAGTCCTGGTTTGGTCCTGGTTTAGTCCTCGTTTAGACATGGTTTAGTCCTCGGTTCAGTCCTGGTTTAGACCTAGTTTAGTTCTGGTTCAGTACTGGTTTAGTTCTGGTTTAGTCCTGGTTCAGTCCATATATGGCGCAAAACTTCAGCCTCTTCACAGTTATTTTGTTGAGAGTAACTTAAAGTGCTGTAATAATCATGTAATGTTTTACATTTTAAACACAGTAATATTGTAATGTAACAAATGACTTTGAATTGAACAGTAACAAGTCATAAATAACACATTACAGTTTTGAAGTAACTTGCCCAATAGTGCATTTGCCTGATTCTGACTGAATTATTACATGAGAAAATTCTATGTAATGAAGTGAATGCATTATATTTTGCAGCCTACCTACATTTTTTTTTCTCCAAAATTGAGCAAATTTTACTGTATAATGCATTATGTAAAGAGCATTATTTGACTGGAATAGATTGAAATCAGGTACAGTTTTTAAATCAAACACTCCACAGTTTGCATTATTGCCTCAACATCTTTCCTGATTTTGAGCCAAAACTTATAGACATGAATTAAGAGAAAAGTGTAATATATTAACCACAGAAAACTACCTGTTTATGAGTTTTTATAATTTGTATATGCACTGAAATCCTGTGATGTAGGGATTTTTTCAGTTTGGATGGCAGATTTTTCTAATTTTTTTAATTCGAGTGTCTGACAACCAACAGATTGTGCCTTTCTGGACCCTGTTTCCCCCGAGACAGGCAACTCAGACTGTTCAAAAAACATTTTATTCAGCCAGCAGCCCAACAGTACTGCAGAAACCGTGTACTTGCTCCACAACCCCACAAGCCAGGAGCCTGTTGCCTCTTAAAACAGAGAGCTCCTGCCAGTAAGCTCCCCATATGGTACACATGTTTGTACATTTTTGGTTTGTTTTTTTGTGAAATATAAAATGTTAGAAGATGTTTCACAATGTTAACGATGACTATATGTTGAGCAACTGCTGAAAGGTCCTATATTATTACACAAAATATATTCTCGTGAGCTTTAAGTCATGTCAAAACAGACCTGGTGTTGTGTTTTGTTTCATTCACGTTTGAGTAATCTTTTTATTATTAGTCTGTCTCCATCTCCAAAGCTCAAAAATGCTCTGTTCCACTGTTTGCCAAACCAAAGAGCTTTCTAGAATATGAAAAAGTGCCTTTCTCATAAACTGCTTGTACTTTGAACATTGCTTTTCATAAAATCAATACAATTAAGAGCCTTGATTTTTTCCCCCATGTATCTGAGCTAAATTTGTCATGCCATTGTACATATATTTTGTATAAGCAGTTCTTGAAGTCAGTGTAAGTCTGTGTGCTGTCTGCATATTATCAGAAAACATTGTTGTCTAATGTTTGTCTACCAACAACATTCACTTAAAATCAACAATAAAATATAATATAATAATAAAATACAATAATGTATGTACAGTATGTTTGATTAGTGTGGAACCTCTGTGAAGTTTTTTTATCTGATACCTGTATTTGAGAATTTGATTTTTCTAATATTTTAATTTTAATCATAGACCTGTTGCTAGAAGCTGGATGAACGTTCTCCGAGTTGTGGAATGACTTCTGAGTTGACCAAATCAAACCAACGTAACCTGCAAAACTATTGGTTCAAATGTTGACTCTTTTCTTCGTCGAGTGGAGGAGTTCAAGTATCTCGGGGTCTTGTTCTCGAGTGAGGGGAAGATGGAGCGTGAGATTGACAGGTGGATTGGTGCAGCTTCAACAGTGATACGGTCGCTGTATTATTATGATTATGATTATGATTATTAATGTATTCTTTATTTATTTGAGACAGGGACAGAGCACAATTTTTACATTAACCTTAACAGGAGAGATGCATTGTACCAGGTTGTAGCACCAGTGTTTCCACCGGTAGTCCCTGGGCAGGTTCACTGATTGATTGTATTTAACTGACCTTGGTTATCAGCTGTTCTTCCTGTAGCATGTTTTGGGTCGATTATCGGACCATTGTGGGGAAGAGGGAGCAGAGCAGAAAGGCAAAGCTCTCGATTTACCGTCAGTCTATGTTCCTCCCCTCACCTATGGTCATGAGCTCTGGGTAATGAAAGGATGAGATCGCGGATACAAGCGGCCGAAATGAGTTTCCTCCGCAGGGTGGCTGGGCGCTCCCTTAGAGATAGGGTGAGGAGCTCAGTCACACGGGAGGAGCTCGGAGTAGAGCCGCTGCTCCTCCACGTCGAGAGGAGAAGTTGAGGTGGCTCGGGCATCTGTTCCGGATGCCTCCTGGGTGCTTCCCTATGGAGGTGTTCCAGGCATGTCACACCACTAGGAGGCCCCGGGGAAGACCCAGGACACGCTGGAGGGACTATGTCTCTCAGCTGGCCTGGGAACGCCTCGGGGTCCCGCCGAAGGAGCTGGAGGAAGTGTGTCTAGAAAGGAAAGTCTGAAGTCTGGGAGTACCTGCTTAGACTGCTGCCTCTGAAACCCGGGCCCAGATAAAGCTGAAGAAAATGGATTGATGGACTCTTTTTAATGAGAGAGGGCGGATAAGAGTCCGCTGACTTTTGCGTTACAAAACTGCAGTGCTCAATGGGAGCTGGTATTTTTTTTATTTTTTTTTTTATTTGCTCAAACTAAACCTGAACATAGCTGAACTAGACTTGACAAGTGACAAAAGACAAGAATACAAGAATCACATTTGAGAACATTTGTACAGATCTTTAGAAAGTTTTACGCAGAATAAGACAGGAGATGTTTTGTCATTTGGAAAGGTAAATATGGTGCTTCAAACATCCATTAGGCCTTGCCAACTGCGTCTATTCAAACTGAAGTTCGAATGTGATTATTATTGCAATCTTACAACAGACAAAACTCTCCTGACTCAGACCCCGCGTACAGTACATGTTCCGTTTTTTGTTTTGCTAACCTTGCCGCCTCCGACTCCTTTGCTGTGAGCTACATTACTTCTCGAACAGCAAAAACTCAAATGTGATTTTTTTTCTACTATTGCAGAAATTAATTCCCAAGAA